TGTGAGAAGCTTCTGGGTTGTCCGGTTCTGTTCGTCTTCTCCGTTCTTGGTGACTTCTCTCTACTGTGTGTAAACCTAATAGCTTCTGGTTTTGGGTAAAACCTGAGTGTCTAGTCTTTGTGATGTTTCGCTTCTAGGTTGTGAGGGAGATAGATCAGTGTGTCGATCCCATTTCATTGTAGTAGCTGCTTTGTGCATTTTCAAGAGTGTTTGGGGTTTTGTGGCCGATCCTATATTGTACAGACGTGGACAATGTTCCCATTTCTGAGCCTACTTTAAATAGAATCTGCTTTGTGCATATTGTTCAACTTTCTTGATGAAACTGTAACTGCTTCCGTGTGTTTCTTGTGGCTCTTTACCCTTCCAGGTTCTTAAGGCAATATAAGAATCGAATCGGAACCGATCGATTCTCAGCGAATGGTCCCAAAATAGATTCATTTAATAGATGAACGGGAGCCAAATCGGTCGACTTCAATCCGATTCCATGGTTTTCAGAAGAAATGCCCACCACGATCCTCAAGCCTACAAATAATAAGATTAGTTACGGATTTAAATAAGACTTGGCCTATGTTTGACTAATGTTTATAAACAATCGAATCGGTGAAATCACTTTTGATTTAGACAACTCTTGGAATTCACAAGTTTCTTTTCATTGTTGAAGGTGAAAGAATGATAACTCTTGGTTCTAGATGGATTGTTCAATTGGATACAGTGACTGCACGTTCTGGGGTTACTATGCTTTAGGGTTTTGTTTGAATTGAATGCTGTTTGAGATGAATTTTGGGCGAAGATCGCGGGATTCATGGATGATTAGGAAACTTTAAGAATGATAGACAGAGAAATTGATATTATACTAAAATTGTGGCTAGATTTTTCGCCATTACCGCCTATTCGTTCAGAAGGAATGAAACCGGAAGTTTGAAAGTGAATTGATGTATGTAAGTCGCTCAAACCAACCAAATATTCTCCTAATTAATTTTTTTATTAAAGAAATAGGCGACAGTGAATGTGCTTGAAATCGAAACCGGAGTTGATGAGCTCTCATAGATGCCCATCTTACCGAGAAACTACACATTTAGCTCAGATTCAACTAAGAGAAAATTGTAGAATTGATGATATGAACTCTGATTGACGACCATTATTTGAAAACTCTTTTTTCTATATACTCATTTTTAACCGCAAGTTCATACAATAAAATATTCTGCACGTAAATTTAAAACTTTTCCTCACTTTTTAATGATACATTCTTCTAAAAATAACTATTCAAAACATTATATTTTTACAAATAATGGCCATCAAACAGAAGCGGAGATTGGAGAAGGTTTATAGAGGATGACCTACAACTTGGACATTTAGAGAACAATTCACCTCTGATGACTTGGAGCTTGTCCTGCTACAGCTGCTAGAGAAGCTTAAAACGCTGTTGATCGACCATTCAAATTGAAATAAGATTCAGGCAGACAATAAATTATCAAAATCGTGTGACGTAAGCAATCTGAAGCAGTGTTTGAGAGTACGATTTATGTCACGTTAGAGGTAAGGGAGTGAAGTTCTGAACACATAACAGGTTTCCAGGTAAATTGGATGTAATCCACGTTAAAACAAGGCATGCGTCTCATAGTTTTTAGATAAAAACATCAGTTCATAAAACAAAACACCTCAATTCTATACCTAAATCTACATATCCGGCTTTCAAAATGCCTCCTGCATCTGAAGTTTAAAGTTATCCAAGAAAACAGGTAGTTATTACTGCATTTTATTTAGCCATGTTCCTCCATTTATCCTTAAGATCAGCTGGAGTACGAGTTCCATGAAACACATGACGACCAAATTCCAAGACCTTCCTCCAAGGAATATTTTTGTTTGCCTGGGATGAGAATTTCTCTACTCCTTCCTGTGAACACAAAAATAAAGTTCATCGCCTAAGAAATATATAACCTACTCATTTGGCATTATGGTGTAATAGGCCATAAGCCTTTGACAGAAAGTGATACTTAAGATGTTACATGTCCTGATTAAAGAACTTTTGGTCAAGTGTACTGCGTGCCAAAAAGCATCTGGTGAATAACAGCAGAATATGTCAATGATGAAGCATGAAATATAGTGATAACAGGATGTAAGCTGTAACCCATGTAAGACATTTTTCCATCAGACCTTCATGATCTGATAACAGGAAAATATATTAAATATTAAAAAATCACAAGATTTGTATACATGGTCGATCATGAAAGAGGAAGAGAACAAGGTAACAAACGAAGCCTTTTCTCTATATGATTTTTCATTTTTTTTCTGATTTCCCCTACTCACTCTGACTTCTAATTTGTCCCCCCAAAAAAATTCTGTAGATCTCCTTCAATTCTCTTCCAAAGGAATGCAAGTATCTTATAATGAAGCACAGGAGCGTGCACAATTAAAAACAGGGAACAACTTATATCAACAAGGGAATTTCATAAAAGTTGGGATGAACACAGATTCACATACACATTCCATTAAGTCTAAGGAGCACAATTAAAACTACGAGGGTGATAAGATGAACATCAATGTATGGTGCAACTCTTTTCTTCAGGGAGAGGTGTCTTTACAAATCATAAGCTGAGTGGATTCGCATGGCGAGCAATGAAGATTGTAGGTTTTCAATCAATAGAAAAACCAATTAAAATAGTCCAATACCTTAACCAAGAATTTAAATAATAAAAAGACAATACGGAAGTAAAATTATAGATGATACCAAATGGAATAAGTCACAAACTTGTACCTGAAGCATTTCCTGCTCTTCCTCCGTCCATAGCAATTTCTTGCGTCTATCGTTGCGAAAAGGATCTTTAGGACTGCATAGAATGGAAGGAAAGTCGAACACTCACACTCGCCCATAATAAAACCTATTAATATGCATGAATTTAAGAACATTCTTGAGCGGATTAATTTACTCACGATTTCGCTGAGGGCAGTTCAAGGAGTCTTGAGCTGCTGGAGGCATTAATGTTACCATTTTTCACTGTATTGAATCCCAGATCACAAGATGACCTCCGAGATGATCTCCTTGGAAAATCAATGCCTGGAGACTCTTTTTTATTCATCTCACTTCGTTTGACATCTTTGCTTCGTGTTGAAATAACCTCAGACTCTCTGCATATTGATTTATTAGTTTCAATTCTCTTCAATTTTGAATGCGCCCGAACTAAGGGGACATCATCAGTGGAAGCTGCAGAAGTTTCCTGTTCCTCATCCTGCATCTTTTCTTCTTCTGCACTGCTGATTCTCTGTTCTTCTTGCATCTCAATGTTAACTTTAACATTTTTCACAGAGTTGAAAGAAGATGACCTCCGAGATGATCTCCTTGGAAAATTAATGCTTGGAGACTGTTTTTTATTCATCTCACTTCGTTTGACATCTTTACTTCGCGTTGAAATAACCTCAGACACTCTGCTTACTGACTTATTAGTTTCCACTCCTCTCTTCGATTTTGAATGAGCCCCCACTAAGGGGACCTCATCACTGTACCTCGCAGAAGTTTCCTGTTCCTCGTCCTGCAGCTTTTCTTCTTCTGCACTGCTGAGTCTCCGTTCTTCTTGCATCTCAATGTTATCCGGTTTTCGTCTGGATGGAATTACTGTTTCTTGCACTTCAGTGCTATCTTTCGCGTGGAAAACTTCTTTGTAACCTTCAGAGCTACCACTCAATACATCATTTTGGTTGTCTGACCTTGAAGCATCAGTACCTTTAGATGGTGAAGGAGACTGTTCTTTATTCATATCACTTCGTTTGACACGCTTGCTTCGCATTGAAATGACTTCAGACTCCCCGCATGTTATATTTTTCGTTCTGACTCCTCTCTTAGCTCTTGAATGTGCTCGCACTAAGGGAACTTCACCAGTGGGTGCTACTGAAATTTCCTGTATCTCTTCCTGCATCTTTTCTTCTTCTGTACTGCCAATTCTCTGTCCTCGCCTTTCAATGTAATCCAGTTTTCTTCTGGATGGAAAACTTGTCTCTTGTACTTCAGTGCTATCCTTCATGTGGGCATCTTCTTTATGACCTTCAGAGCTACCAGTCAATTCATCATTTTGTCTGTCTGATACTGAAGCATCAGCTCCTGTGTATGGTGAAGGGCTTCTAGTACATTCATGAAAGATCCCTTCGGCTTGCGGTTCTTCCTCAAGTTGAATAGGTTGATTGTAAACAACATCAGTGTCCTTATTGTTATTGCAGCAAATTGTCTTATTTACGTTTCCATTAAGCCTTTTCACTTCAGCTCTCTCCTTTTTTCCCCCCTGTTTGGCACCATCTATCATTTCTCTATCAATAAAGATTGACAAAGCCTTCTCTTTAGACATAGCATTCTTCCATGCTTGAGATTTTTCTGCAACAGCTTTCCTGTACAAACAATAGGGGCAATAGAAGAGGCCCCTTTCATCAAATGTAGCCGAAGAGCCCATGCAATTTTCATGAACAGCTATAGGACAGCCATTTTCACTACAAACTAACAGTTTCCCACCTTCATCACAATTTATGCATAACTCTCTTTCTGACCAATCCATTCCCAGAATTCTTGTAGATCATTCCTCGAGTTCTTAGAACTTTTTGAAGCCAACAACTTTCTTTGTCGTTAATGGATACACTCCATCGTTGTCCACAATCACCTCACCACAGACTAATGGCACTGGCACTGCCTTGTGAGCTGTTCCCACTCGCAAAAGGTCTGATAAGCATTTTGAGAATAACGAGAGTTTACATCAGGAGCATCGCTGAGATGTATTATTAGACTACATTAATAGACTGGGATCTTCCTTCCCTCATTCTAAATCATACTTTAGCAATTATACGAGTGAAAATGCGAAGTTTGACTGGCAACTAGAATCAGAATCAGTAAAGAAAATATATTAAATGCCAATCCTAGAAACGTGAACAGAAGAACATCAATAAAACAAATAGACCGTCAGACAGCAGAAAATGGAAAATCTGTAGAAGACAATATGTTACTATCTCAGCTCCATAAAACATAAGTCTGAGTTGGTCCCTTCTAGTATAGACATCCAAATAGAGGGTCCAGAACTTATCATCCAACTACTATTTACGAAAGCCATTTTTTCTTGTTTTAATTATTAAGTTCGGACTTCATATTTGGCCAAAGAAATTCAGAATTCCAGTGTAACTTTTTCCTAATTCCACCTGAGGTCTAGTGGGAGCAATTGCCCCCCACTGGATTTTAGTCCTGGGTATTTCACCTATTAGCGTGCCGGCCGGTTCTAAAGGCAAGGAGAAAACCATAAACAACCACGTCAAGAATTCAAGAGAAAACGTTGTTGCTAGAGGAGGATTACCATCGAGAAACAACAATTTTCGAAAAAAATAAAAATAAATTCTAAGGAGCTAGATGACGATAATCTTAGATCGAGGTAGTGTTGAAATAAAATCATTCACGACAATCAAATCGAGTGCGAAATCAACGTATAAAGCCCGATTTTACACAAATAAATCTGAAACTACCTTCCAAGTTTGGTGATGTAGAAGTTGAGGAAAGCAAGATCCGCTTGTGCCCTCCTGTTGCTCTAAGATTTAAACGGGGCATGGTTATATATACAGTGTATCAGACTAACAGGATGGGTTCTACCGCACCACTTGGCCATGGCCATGTGGGCCTTGTCAGACCCCAGCCAATAGGAAGGTGCCACATCGTCCCCCATGGTCGGGCCACGTGATCCTGACCAAACATCCACTGATTTAAAAAAAAAT